AAAGTGGAGAGGCAAGAATGAGGTGGTCCCAGCACCAGACACTCGCACAGATGGCGTGGACACAACGGCAGCACAGTAAGGGGTGGGCGGGGCTAAGGCTAGGGGGTAGGGGAGCTTAAGGGACAAGGTGTACTACCAGATTGAGAGATCCAAGTTTCCCCCCAGGTTCCATAGATAGGAGGCGCAACGCACAGGGGCAGTGGCAAGGCAACCCAGTTTGGGACTAAAAAAAAGAATTCCTCGGCACGTACAAAACGTTCACTTATATACATTCTATTTATTTAAATAATAACACGATATCATTTTGTTTTCTTTTTTAATTAAGAAAATACTTCGTTTTCCTTTCTGTCTGTTTTGAGTGAGAGTGTGTTTGAGTGTATGAGTGTGTGTGTGTGTGTGTGTGGGAGTGTAGGAGCGTGTGAAAGTGTCTTTCATTTCGATTTTCTGATTTTTCAATGAACTTTTGCTGTTGTTGTTATCTCCGATTTACGTATAACGAAATTAACGGGTTCGGTTCGGATTTGTTAGTTTTGGTTTTTGAGATTGATTTTGCCTCAGCTTTAGCCTCGGCTATTCATAGAGTTTGTCTGCTGCTTTCTGCTTTTGACACTTACACAAATACATAAAATTATTCATTATTTTTCTTCGTTTTTTTTGTTTTTACTCATTTTGTCATTTTGCTTTGCATATATATGTTTGTTTGTTTGTTTGTTTGTTTGTTTGTTTGTTGGTTGGTTGTGGGTTGTGTACCATATCTTGGATTAGTTCTAGTGCTGGCACCTTGCTTATATACAAGTGAACGTACAGGAGACAAAAATGTACATTTCTTACTAGACTAGAGTGGAAAACTTAATAGTTTCGTTATTGTAGTTTTGAGTTCGAGTACGAGCTTTTCATTGTTTCTTAGGGGGGTGTGGTATTCGAGAGGGCGGAAAAAAACAAACAATATGCGAAAGTCCAAAAAGGAAACTTCTGTCTGTTGCTTTGTTTTGTTTGTTTTTTTCTTCAGATTTCTTTTCATTCATAATTCTTGTTGTTGATTTGTTCTATTTTTTGTCTTTTGATGGGCTAGATCTTCGATCTGCCTTGACTTAGGGGGGCGTGGTTATGGGAGAGGAAGATATATTTCTACCGCTATAAGTATGCAAGCGTTTTTTGTGTACGACGAGTGTGTTTGCAACTAGATGAGATATTTTCTTCTTTATTGTATTGGCTTGTTTCTTGTCTCTGAGCTTAGGATTGGAAGGTTAAGGGAGATGGATGGTCAACCCTCCTCCCCAACCTGCCTTCCTTCACTCAAAAACACTTGGGTTCTGGGTTTTCTATTTCTATGCATATTCGATTGAATGTTTTTTGTTTTTGTTTTTTGTTTTTTCTGCTGGAAAGGAGGGCTAGTAAGCCGCCTTGGCTTTGGATTTGCTATTTGACTTATGTATGTATTAGCCATGTAGTAGTTACTGCACTGTTACTGTTACTGTTATTGTTACTGTAGTTTAGTTTATTTTTTTTTTAAATATCGCGTATTGTAAATTGTAAATTGTAATTGTAGTTGTAAATGTAATTGTAATTGTAAGCTTTATGTGGAGCTTGGAGCTAATGGTTCATTGGATAATACGGTTGTCTTAACTCTGTCTCTGGGTTATGTAACCAGGGGTTTAGTTAAGGGGGAGGCGACGGGGTGTGGGTTAGGAGGTAACATCTATATGAATTAAAGTTAAAGAAAAAAAAAAAAAAGGAATATATAGTCCATAGTACACACACGTTAAACAGGCGAACCTACTATTGATTATTATTCGGTATTGGTGTGAGTTCGGTTTTTTTTTTTTTTTTTTGGTTTATCGGTATCGGTATCTGTTAGGATTTCTCACTTATCGAGGTCTTACTGCTGCTATTTGGAGTATCAATATGCTATTTTAGTTAGTTAGTTTGGTTAGTCCACAGTTTAGTTAGATGAGTTCTTTGTCCATCTGTGGGTTCTCTCTGCTACTCACATTGACGAACCTTCAACCTTCTTCTCATACACACACTTTGGACTGTTGCTGCTGCTGGTGTTTCTGTTCTTCTGAATGGTTAACTGCGATGTCTGTGTTAGTCTGTTAAGTAGTACATGTTTTTCTCTTTTGTTTTTTTTTTACTGTTTTTAGTTTAGTTTAAATAATCGACATGACATTTAAAGTGCAAAGCTGCGACATCTTGTCTCCAGATTAACTCTCTCTCTCATGGTACTCATACATATACATATACATCTGGGGATTTACATTTCCACATTTATTGAATATAATAAAAACGAGGTGACATTTTCTTGAGGTTCGCTCTCTACATATTATATGGCATTGCAGCTGGGCGATCATCTTCGGAATTGATCGCTTTTCAAGGGTATGTAAGGGGTGTAAAGGGTGTAAGGGGGGGGTGAGATTGTAACAAACAAACGGAGGGTTCTCCTTATAGTTAATAGATACAGATACAGATTACACCACTATATCGATGGTGTTAACTTATTTTTAGTCGTAGGTGCATAAGCTATGTTTGTAAATCGAATTTTGGTATCAAAACGTGGGTGATTCAACTTAATCATCAACTTTTCAGACTTTTCGTTTGCCAAAAGAAGCAAGAAACATACACACACAGAAGAAGAAGAAGATAGAAAAATAAAAAACCTATGAGGAATGCATTGGGAAAACTTGACATTGAGATTTCGCCATGCGCGCCTAGTTTATGCCTGGGTGAGTTTACATACTAAGAGTTAATTTATAATAGGTTGTATAAAAAATAAAATTCGACTATATACTCGCACACAACGTTTCAGGGATCTCTTTCTCTCTCTCTCTCTCTCTCTCTCTCTTTCTGTTCGTCTTTGACTTTTAACTAAGGCTATTCCCCCCACTTTCTCTCTCTCACCAAAAAAAAAAAAAAAAAAAAAAAACAAATTGCACTCGCCTAAAAAAAAAAGTAATGCAGTTCTTTGCGTTTCCTCGGCCCTGGTCTTGTGGCACGGTTCTTTGCGGTTCCTCCTCTTCCCTTCCAAAGTTCTACTTCGAATGATCAGTCTTTAAATTAAGGTTAAGTTGTGCTGGAAGCAAAGTAAACCATCTCTAACTGGTGGCTAATTTTGATTATATGGTAACATTTAGTATGTCGCAAAGTCGGCCAATTGGAAAGTATATATATATATAGTTGATAGTTCGACTCTAAATGTGGCAAAATATTAAACTGGGGGACCAACAATCGTCATCGCTCATCTTCGGTTGAGTTTAAAACTAGTCAGTCCTGGTCCCCTGGTCTGTCCGTGCTCTCTCTCTCTTTCTTTCCATCTTCCAGGCTACGAAGAAACGCGCATGAACTACTCTTTCAATTCCCCAATTAATCCTGCTCAACTTTGACCCCTCTCTCAGTGCCACAATCCTATGTACAATCTTCAGATCTTCAACTGCTTCTTATTTCGTTTCTAGCAAAATTGTTTTATGATTTCTGCTGTTGTATGCGTTATGCTGAGTCCATAGTCTTAGTTATCATATCATAATTATTAGTATTCGTAATTCGTATTCGTATTCATAGTTATGCAAATACATATACAAAGTTGTATGTGTGTGTGTGTGTGTGTGTTTGTTTGTTTGTTTGTTTGTGTTTTCCTAAGAGCAACGCTTGTAATTGTAGATAAGTAAAAAAAATGCTTTTACACACACACACACACAGAGTTTCTCGCTTAGGGCTAGGTTTACATTGTTTGTGGTTTTTACATTGACCTTGCTACTCATTTGATGAATATTTAGTGGCTGCTAAATGTACACATAAGTTTATATATATATATATATATATATATATAAATCTCTAATATCTTACAATCATATTAAAAAACAAAAAAAAAATCTGCTTTTCTGGCTATATATATATAGAGAGAGTGTGTGTGAGAGTGTGTGTTTGTGGTAGGTTTGGTAGTATGCATACAAATGTGAGGAAGATAAGATAGTTAGATGCTGTACAGATATATATATATATATATGTTCGGGGGAAGGTATCGGACATTGCACAGATTCTTTATGGATCATCCCCGGCTGCATCCATATCCACATCCACATCCATTCGGTTCGGATTCGATTTGGGATGACGATGACACGTTGGCGGCCTTGGCATCTGGCGCTGGGTAATACTCGTGGGGGGTGGCTTAATGTGGGGCAATGGCTTGTGTAGTAGTGGGTGGTGGGTGGTGGGCAATGTGACATGGTTTTAACAGTCTTCTATCCTGTGCTCCAACGTACTGGAGCCACTCCTCTTACTCCTATTCTAGTTTCTTGTTTTTAACGTGACAAACTCTATTCGCAATTCCCAATTTGGGATGGGCGACAAAAAAAAAATGCTTATATGTCTACACGTCTCCGAATCCAGCGCGATCTGATTGAGTGTGTGTGTGTGTGTATGTATATGTGTGTGTGTGTGCGTGTGTATATAGCTATATAGCTTTATCGTAAAAGACCTTTGTTTTTGCTTGCTTTATAATCAAGTCGTAAATAATCACAGTTTTTCCATTTGCCTAAAAAATGTTTTTGTTTTGTCTTCCTTTCCTCTCCTTTCGTTTGTTTTTGCTTTCTTTTTTGTTTTTTGTTTTTCATAATTTTTTCTTTTTTATCATTGCTTCGTCTCGATGTTTTTGCCATTGTAATTTCTTAGTTTTTAGTTCCGTTTTTGTTCTGGCCGAAAAAGTCTTTGAATTTTCCGTTCTGTGAGATCCGAAATTTAAATGTTTACTTTGTAGAGTTAAAGTCCTAATCTCATCCTCCTGCTCTCCTGCTTCTCCTGCTTTCCTGCTCCTTTCGTTCGGTCGGTTCTTCTCCCCTCCTCCTGTTCGCTTCTCCTTCTTCTTCTTATCCTTGGTTCTCCTCCATCTTGGATTGTGTTTGCGTATGCGTGTGTGCGTTCGTGTGTGTGTGTGTGTGTGTGATGCCCGATCATCGTGTCTGATGCTGATGCTGCTGCTTTCCATAGCATACTTTCCTGCGCCTCGCTTATTGGTCTAATAAATTCATGCGTTCATATGGATGCTGATGCGGATGGGGATGCGGGTGCGTTAGCTGGTGGGGATGCTGATGCGACAGCGGATGTTGGTGGGTTAAATGGTGCGGCAGGTGGTGCTGCAGGGCGGCGGCAGCGGCTGCAGCAGAGAATCCTCCAGCCCCAGCCGTATGCTCCAGCTGGGTAAGATCAACAGTGGGCGTGCCACTTGGCCCCTGTACACCTCCATACTCTTGTCCGCCGTTCATTGCCTCTGGCCCAGCTCCCGTGCCCACTCCTCCTGGACCGGAACCTCCCGCCGCAGCTGCTGCCGCTGCAGCCGCCGCTGCCGCCGCGGAGTTGTTGAGCGCCACGTGGAACAGCTGCTGCAAGAGTTGCTGCTGATCTTATAAGAAGTCCATGCACGGCTTGACAATGCCCGGCGACGACTGTTGCTGCTGCTGCTGGTGCGCCGCTGCCAGCTGAAGCGTTGAACTGGCCGTACCGCCGGCCACTGCTGCAGCGCCAACGATTGGCGATAGCAGCAGTTCGGCAGCGGCAGCTGCTGCCGCTGCGGCGGCGGCCACTGCATTTCCACCGGCACCACCCGCTCCCCCTCCCACATTGACGCTATTATTGGCCGCCGCTGCTGCGGCACTCAGCGAGCTCAACGACTGATGAAGTCGACTGCCCGGACTGCCCGCTTGGCCCACTCCGGCGCCGTGATGAAAGTACGAGTGATGGTTCTTCTGCCGGCGGTGATAGATACTCTTGTGGTTGTTCAGCGAGTTTAGGGTGCGGAAGACCTTGTGGCACAGGTTGCACACGGCGTTGTTCAGTGGCTGCAGGTGCTGCTGCTCCTTGTGACGTTTCAGCGTGAGCTTAGTGCTCAACAGCTTGCCGCACACATCGCATCGATGGCACGCATTTAGGGGCAGGGGCAGAAGGAGTCTGTTGGCCTGGGCCACATCCTGGGCCCGCACCGATGAGAGTAGGCTGCTGCCCGGTCCTCCTGGACCACCCGCACCGCCTCCCCGTCCACCTCCTCCTCCGCTGGCCCCGCCCACAACGGCTCCTGAGGGCGAGAGCGAGGCTCGTCTGTGATGCAACAGGTGATGGTGTTCCAAGGGCGATCCGGCACGGCCCAAAACATGGGCATGGGCGGCGTGCGCATGGGCATGGGCATGGTGGGCGGCGGCGGCGCTTAGCTCGTGATGTGTGGCATGCAACTGATGATGGCTGGGCAACAGCGACAGCGGATGCTGGCCAAAGTGCGAGTGGTGCGAGGGCGGCGGTGGTGGTGGCGATCCCCCTCCGCCTGTCGATCTCTCCAAATCCCTTTCATGGTCAAGTGATCGTTCCCGTTCCCTTTCTCTTTCCCGCTCGCGTTCACGCTCCCTTTCGCGCTTATGATAGGCGATGGGCGATGGCGAGGGCGTGGCACTGTGACCACCTGCCTCTGCAATGCCTTGCGAGGATCGGGACAAGCTGCGTTCGCTGCCAGCTGCAATGTGCAGGTCGCTGGACTTGCTGCTGCCACCGCCCGATTGCTTCAGCTGTTCCTGCTTCAGTTGCTGTTGTTGTTGTTGTTGTTGTTGTGGACTGTTGGTATGTGGTGTGGAATGATGTTGTTGTTGTTGTTGGAGGAGGTGGTGTGGTGATGACTGTTGGTCTACTTGTTGTTGGTTGTTGCTGTTGTTGTTGTTGTTGTTGCTACTACTATTACTAGGGGTGCCACCACTACCGCCGGGCACTATGACGCCGCCGAGTAGGCTGCCGGTGCTGCCACCTAAACGGTCATATAGAAGGAAGAGAAGAAAAAAAGAGACAATAGTGACTTTTCTGTATATTTGACTTTGTTGTTATTTGGTTTGTTTTTGTTTTTGTTTTTGTTTGTTTTCGTATTCTCTGTTGTTTAGTTGTGGGTGTGTGTGAGTGTGTGTGTGTGTAGTAGTAGTAGTTCTGTTCATGTCTTGTTTTCTCTTTCTTTTTTTTTGGGGTGTTAGTGTGACTCTGTCGGTGTCAGTGTCAGTGTATCTGTAACTGTAAGTGTGTCTGTTTCTGTTTCTGTTTCTGTATGTTTGGTTTGGTTTGGTTTGTTTGTTTGGTTTACTTTTATATAACACTAACAAATCCAGGCTCAAAACTATGTAAATTTGCTAACTTTTAGTTTCTCGAAAATGTTTCTTCAATCTTTTGCTTTTTGTTTCTTTTGATTTTGCGATTATTTTTTTTTTTGGAAAAAACGCTGCGCTGCTGCTGCGAGTTCAGATTCAAATTTCAGATTCGGAGTGCGATTTCGCAAACTCGCATTTTTCGGAGTTTTGGTTTCGGTATCGGGTTGGTTTCTCATTCCCTTTTTGGTTGATTTTTTGGGGAAAACGCATGGAAATAAAATGGTAATAAAACGGTTTGTTGACTGTTGTTGTTGCTGTAGCTGTTGGCTGTTGGCTGTTGGCTGTTTCTGTTGTTGTTGGCTGTGGCTAGTTTTGTGGTGGTTGTTGTAGTTGAACTCGAATATTGCACGGTTCATAATAATAATGCCGCCGTAGGTGGTGGGAAACTCGACTCAAAATTCGAATAGGCGAATCCGAATCGAATGTACAAGATTCGGATTCGAAAAAAAGTTCGCAATCCCCCCCGGTAGATAGTAATGGCAGTTGCAGTTGCAGTTGCAGTGATGTTGCAGTTGCAGTTGCCATTAATTTTTTTTTTTGGGGGGACGCACTTGTAGTTTGCAAACTGTTGGTTAATTTTGTGGTGTTGCCAATTTTGGGTGTGCTCTGATCTGATCGTTGATAAATTTTCACGAATTTCGTGGATGTTTTTTTTTGATAAACCAATTTTTTGTCTTGTCTTATCTTTTCGATTCGATTCGATTCGCATTTCTCGATTTCGATTCAATTTCGACTTCAATTCCAATTTTGTTTGCGTTTAATTTTATGTTTTTTTTCGTTCGATTTTGATTGATTTTTCAATTGTTTTTTTTTTGGTTAAGTTTAGCAAAATTTTGAAACATGTTTGGCCTGATTGATTTGTTGTATATATAAAATGTTTAGTATTATTTAGATTTTCTCTTTTTCAAGTTATTTTTCGGTTTTTTGTCTATTTTGTTTTAATTGCAAGTTGTCAATTTTTTCTTGCGGTTGTCACTAGTGTCTCTTTTTTTCAAACTCAATCGCAGCACCGTTGCCTGTGTTGGGTTTGATTGGGTTTGCATTTTTTTTTTTTTGGGTTAGGTGGGTTGTTTTTTTTGGGGGGGAAGGGGTTTGATTGGTATCAGGGAACTGGTTAAAAAGAACCAAATGTGCGGTAGATAAAACGTGCTTGGGAACGGGGTAGTGGGTCACACACACAGGGGTGGGGGGCAGCAACAGGGGGGGCTCGTAATTCCAATGTTCGGTTGTGTGCGAGGGGGTTTGCTTTCAAAAGTGGGGGGGGGTCCATGGATCGAGGGCACCTCTAAGATTCAGATTCAAAAACACTTCACTGGGGATGGGGCTCGCGACCGCTGATGGTGTGAAGCGGATCGTAGGAGTTGATCTGTTTTTTGGGTTGATTGGATGTTGGAGGGTGGTGGTGGTGTTAGTATTAGTATTAGTAGTAGTTTCTCTTGCTGAGGGGCTCTTAAACTAACTGAAGTTCGCGCTCGACCCGAGTGTGAGTGTGATGATTGGGGTCAAAGTTCGGTTCGGCACACATGACATGAAATCCTGCCAGATCCCGGGCACTAAGATCTAGATTATGTTAAGAGTAATGAGTGAGGACAATATGTGTGTGCGCATGATTTTGTGGCTGGAGGAGATACACAGAGAGAGAGAGAGAGATAGACACACAGAGAGAGAGAGAGAGAGTAAGAGTTAGTTTCCCCTGGGGAAGGCGGGTGACGACGCCTCCTCGATCAACATGCATACAACACCTAGGCTTTGGGTGCTGATTGGGTAGGGAAGAGCGGGGTTCCTTGGGATTGGTGGTGTTTGGTTTGGGGGTTAAATGAAATATCGCTTTGATGTGTAGACGTTTATTGTAATTATCATGAATTGAATTAGAATAGAAAGTAGAGTTCTTCGCACAGAACCGCAATCGCTTCATATCATACATGGAACTCAACTGCGTTGGCTTGTTGTGGCTGTCTCTGGCTGTTTGTTTGTGTGATAGTGTGTGTGTGTTTTGTGTGTTTGTTTTTATATATATATATATATATATATATTTGCTTGTATTCATAGGTCTTACGCACATACATGTGTCTGTATCTTTACTTAGCAGCACTAAAAATTAACGAACACAGGTTTACTCATCGAAGTATCCGGTCAAAAACATTTCGGTTTCTCTTTTTCTCCATTTCTCATTATTCAATATTCTCTCATAACTAACATTAAATATACAAAAAAATGCAAAAAAAAAAGTATATATATGATTTTTATATATATATTAACACTAAGATTAAACATTTCTTAGGCTAAGACATACATACATATGCATCGTGATTCGTGTGTGTGTGTGTGTGTCTATGTATGTGCTTGTATTGGTGTGGGTGTGCTGTGCGCTTAAACCTAACTAATCAGAATCTGATAACTAGCTTTAGAGTACTATATAGAAAAGATCTTTGCAATTGGTCGGTCGTTCGGTCGGTCGCTCCCCTCTCGCTCTTCGCTTCTCCTTGTCCTTCTTCATCTTCATCTTGTTAACTACGTAACTTCCTTAACGTCTTAACGTAATGACGTTCTAATCATAACTTTTCATCAACATTATATATATCTATATATCTCTATATATATAGAGTGTATGTATACTACGTAAAGGTAGAAAAAAAAACTGCAGCTTGGTCTTTATTTTAGTTTAATGCGAGAGATAATTCATACGTCTAACGTCTGGCATATCCCCTCCCCGCCCTCATAAGGTGTATACAGAATATGCTGTCCATCGGATAAATTGTATTTAGTTAAAGCCATTTCGAAGAATTCACTACGGGCACCTCTGTTAGCTCCTACTTAACGGATATTAAGATTTGACATTAAAGTTTGGACTTGCAATTGGGATGGGGTTTTGGTATGGGGTTTAAGGGAGAGAAGGTCTTAGATTCGGAGTTAGCCAACTAATAACTCTTGGAAACTTTACATGGAAGGAAGGGTAGGTAGGTTTAGGTTTAGGTTTATTTTTAACGACTATTGATTTTATCTGTATAAACTGTGTATCCTGTGCTTAGCAACTACCGAAGGCAACTAATTGTAACTAGCCTAAACTGTGTGTTTCTGTGTGTCTTCTGTCCTAATCCGCTTCCTGCTATCCTGCCTGCTCTTTAATAGTTAATGTGTACAAAAAGCACCGTCTTGTGTGTATGTGTGTGATTGGATGTGAATGTGTGTGTGTGTGTGTGTGTGTGTTTGTGTGTGCTCCTATGCCTTACACCTACATATGACCTACATTGACATTCAATACAATCGCTAATGGGGCAAACTTAACAAAAAACCTGCTTCCCCTCAACTGGAGAACCCTCCGCCGCCGCTGCTGTTGTTGTTGTTGTTGTTGGCCAAATGGTGCGAATGTGGATGCGTATGCTGGTGCGGATGCGTGTGCGGATGCGTGTGCAGATGCGCCTGATGCTGCTGTTGTCGATAGTCAAAGTACATGAAGCCCTATGAGGAGGAGTGATGATTTAGCTGCTGCTGCTGATGCTGCTGATGATAGAAGCTATTGGCCGTGGCCTGGTTGGCGCCACTGCCTGGCTCCTGTTTCGGCTGCTTGAGGTTGCGATGGTAGATGCTCTTATGGTTGCGCAGGCTGTTCAGGGAGCTGTAGACACGCTTGCATATGTTGCACACTGGCTCCTTGGTGGGTCGCATGTGCACGTTCTGGATATGCCGCTTGAGGCGCGTCAAAGAGCTCAAGTTCTTGTTGCACGGATTGCATCGGAAGTCATCGCCGCCGCTGGTCGAGTTACTAAGTCCGCCAACGCCGCCGCCTCCACCGCCACCGCCGCCGCCGCCACCCGAGCTGTTAAGGGCCGAGTTGGAGTTGTTAAGCGAGCTGTTGGCGCTGCCGCTCGTCGAGGCGGATGCCGAGGCCGAGGCCGCCATGTTGGCCATTACAGCGGCGAACATCTGCTGTTGGGTGGTAGTGGGCGTATTCGATGTGGGTGTGCTGCAGGCCAGGATCCCGTTGGGCTGTTGTTGTTGGCCGCTTGAATTGTTGTTGCCCTGCTGCTGCTGCTGTTGCTGCTGTTGGGACATCTGGTGCTGCTGTTGCTGCTGTTGGGGCAGCAGAGCGGTTACTGAGATGCCGCCGTTGCTGCCGCCACTGCTGCTACCATTGGCTGCAAATGTGGAGAGGTTAAGGCCACAGATGCCGGAGGCACTTGTGATGGCTGTAGGTCGAGTTGGAGTTGTTGTTGTTGTTGTTGTTGGTGGTGATGGAGTTGGAGTTTTTAGAGAGTTGGAGTTTTTTGTTGGTGGAGAGTAATCGTAGTAGTAGTTGTTGTTGTTGTTGGTAATCAAGTTGTTGTTTATTGTTGTTGTTGTAGTAGTAGTTGTAGCATTTGTCGTCAGTTTACCTGACGACAAGGTGGGGAAGAAAGTCAGAAAACGTCGCATTAGCCCAAGGACAACGAGTTTTAATTGAATTTGATTTTTGGGTATTTTTTTTTCGTCTCAATTTTGCGTGATTTCTCATTGGTTTTCGATTTGGATTTTGGAATTTGTTTTTTTTAGAATTTTTGATTTATTTTCAGTTGCTTTCGTGTGTATATATTGTGCCGGATATATATATATATATGGTTATCAGAAAACGAATTTCGTTAGCATTTTTTGCATCAAATAAGTATGCAACATTTTGCAGCTTCAGCTTTTCGCTTAGGCTCAGTGGCTAATTTAACTTTGGATTTATTTTTCGATTCTGTTCTTTTCTTTTTGTTTTTTCTTTTCTAGCGGATTGCGTGACATTAGATAGAGAGAGAGATATACAGATAGAGTGGAAGAGAGAGAGAGAGAGAGAGAGTAGAAGAAGAAGTAGATGGTGAAGTGGAAAGAGGAATTGGAGATTGGAGGACATCATCAAGATATCGAGAAGGGATAAAATGGCAGATGTGGAAAAGAAAAGGGTTTTTGTTTTTGGATTCGCATGGCAAATGTGAGAAATTGATTTCTTTTTTGATTGTTCGTCGACGTTTCAGTTTCAGTGTTTGGAAACTTTCGAAACTTTCGAAACTGCTATACTGCGACTGCTACTCAAACTGTGACTGATCACTCAGTTCAGTTAAGTTCCAGTTCCAGTTCCAGCTCCAGCTGCGTCTATATGGGACATCGATGGCGATCTGATCGCATGATCGAAAACTATTCGATATATTACTCAACGTGTGCAAAATTGTTTTTGGGGTTTTCTTTTAGTTTTTGATTTTGGTTTTAGGTTTTAGTTAAAGGTACTTGGTTGTTGTTGTAGTTGTTGGCTGGTTTTGGTATTGGTTTTGGGTTTGTTTTTGTTTTTGTTTCTTGCTGTAGTTTGGTTTTGTTCTTGTAACTCATTACCATAGTGTGCGGTGGTTTGTGTTTTTGTTTTTGTTTTCTTTTTTTTGTTGGGTAATTTACAAATTAGGAGTAGGAAGTAGTGGGAGGAGCCTTTGAGTTGAAACGTAAGAGAAGAAGGGCAAGTGTATGTGTGTGTGTCTGTGTCGGTGTCTGTTTCTGTGGGTGCTCGTGTGTGTGTGTGTGTGTGTTTGTAAAACACCATCACCATATCAATATCATCTGCTTCTGTTTCTTTGTTCGTGTTTAGTGTTGTTCGTGTTCTTTGACTTCCCGCACCTAGTTTCTCTCTGTGTAAGTGTGTGTGTGTTTGTGTGTGTGTGTACGGGGTTTGGGGTTGTGTGTGGGCGTGTCACTTAATAAAGCACTAGAATTAAACCCTTGCCAAATCACCTTTGTCTTCAACATCATCATCATCATCATCATCTCTCTCCGGGAACTTAATGGTAATTTCTAGTTTCGATTCGAATTTCGAGTTTGCTTTTCGATTTTTGTTAGAATTTCGTAAAATTTACATTGTGCTTAGATTACAATTTTTGATTGTTGTTTCTTAGCGGGGCTAAGAATGGAGTGGAGAATGGATTTCTTTTTGGATTTTTATTTTTGGTTTTTGTAGGGAATTAAAGATGATTCTGATACTGATTCTCCATTCCATTCGCAGCCTTCCACTTGTGTGGTTTTTCTTTTTCTTCTTTCAATTCGTTTCGTGTGCTTAGGTGGTAACTTAAATAGATTGCTGGTGTATACATTTTTGGTATAGTTTTCTCTTTTTTTTGGTATTTTTTTGGTATTTTTTTTTTTGCCCGGTTCACCAATTGTGGAACTTAAAATTAGTGAATTTTGAATACTTCGCATGGGAGTTAAAGTAATTCTAGGTATGCTAGGCGTAAGATATAACTCTGATTTCTCCTTTTGGATCGCAGTGTGTGTTCTTGAGTGTGTGTGTGTGTGTGTTTGTGGGTAGGTAGGTGTGTGTGTGTGTTTGTGTAGGAGCAACAAATATATGTATATATAGAGCGTAATTTAAAGCGGTTTTGTCAATCAAATTTATATACTTGAAGCCTTGAGTTGTTGTTGTTGCTGTTGCTGTTGTTGTGGTTCTTTGAGGTAAACTCAGTTTTGTGTTCTTTAGTGCTGGTTGGGGGAGGGGGGTCTGTGAGCGTGTGGGTGGGTAGGAAGTAGGTAGGAGTTTTGGGTTGGTGTGATTGTTTCATGTATCGAGTTGCCTGCTTGGATCGCCTCTGTGTGGGGCAGTGGTTGGTTGTGGTAATCCATATTTTCGGAGGGGGTTTGGTGGGGTTTTAGTAAAGCGGAATTATATACGTATACAAGGGGGGGTGGTTGGGTTAGATCGATCAATTCTTAACAATATTTATGTATATACTTCGAGTGTGTGTGTGTGTTTTTTTGGGTAGGTAGATATATATATCAGCATATATAGATCTCACGATTACCATTATTTTCGACGGGGGGTTTCGGGGGGGGTAATTTGAAATTTTGGTCGGTTAGTACAATTGGAAAGTAAATAAAGATTAGCGTTAGTCGATCAACTTCGGTGTTAGGTGTTCCCTCTGATGATCATTTTTGTTAGCTGTTGGAGCGCATATAATATTTCATGTATGTGTGTGTGTGTGGGTGTTTCTTGTGTGTGTGTGGGGGGTGTGGGGTGTGTGTGCGTGTGACAAGTGGTGGTCTGGGGATGTATGTATGCATGAGTGAGTGTGTGTTTGGTGTTTGCTTTTCTGATAACTTCAATGATAACTTCGCCTCATTCCCTACATATATATATATATGAATTCAAGGAGAGCCCTGCTGGTATATGTATGAGTCCTCTGTGTGTGTGTGTGTGTGATGTGTTTGTTTGTAGGTATGTGTGTGAGCGTGCTGTGAGTTAGCGGCTTGGTGTGGCCAAGTAATCAAGAGAGCTGCAGTGTGGGGGGTTTTTCGGATTTTCGAAGTGTAGGGCGTGCAGCGTGTCGCGAATTGGAAAACCCGAAAAGGAAATGAAACAAAACGAAACGAAACTAATCGCGCCTGGTGTGTACTGTACCTTGAGTGGAATAATGCCAATCTGTGCCGAGTTCTGGCTGATCCTCCGACCCCATAATATTCGGGACAGGGATTCGGGGGGTCGGAGACCCTAGCCTATCAAAGGATTTATAAGGTTTTTCTTTTGTTTTTTACCTGGTTTTGCACTGATTTTTGGTACTTGCAGCGCAGCAGAGTGGGGGTGTTGAGTGTTTGATGTGGGGTATTGAGATTTTGAGGGAAGTCTCTCTGGTTGTGTGTTCGAATGTGTGCTCAAAGCAGAGTGTGTGGCCGAATTTCAGGGGGGGAAGGGGGACAAGAGAAACAGACCCACGGGCAATGGAGGGATGGCTTTTCCCACCAGGGGGGGAGTAAAAACTGGGGTTGGTAAATCAAAATGAAAACCGCTTTGCCCGGCCCCAAAATCATAGGCGACCGGTTGGGAGGCTTCGACAGTTGTTAACAAAAGACACATTGAAAATTAATGTGAAAACTCGTTCGAATGCAATTTGTTGTAATTTGTAAATAAAGCTTTTCTTTTGACTTTGCTAATGGGGTTGGAGCGGGTCGAGATGGGTGGTTAATTTTGGATCGGGTGGGGGGGGTTTTACATAGTTTTAGACACAAGCACGACGACGTACAAATAAAGGAAAGAGTTCAATATTCAATATATATATATATTATGTAGGTATGTATATATTCGATCTTCAAATGCGTTGCGTTTTACATGGAAACTAAAAGTTCACACCAATAAAATTTCGATTGCAAAATGTACTCGGTGTTTTGTTCTTTTTTCCTTTTCTTTTTTTGCTTCTCTGCGGGCCTTTTCCCGTGTCATTTCTCTAGTGTTTTTTCAGCCATTTTCTTAGAACTTAGGGGGGTTTGCTTATTAACTGAATGGCAAACTTAAGAATGCAAAAAGAAAACCAAAAATTAGTTCGAAAACAAACAAAAAAACGCAACACTTGGGGGATTCTACTCTACGGAAATCATAAGCTTTAAATTGAATATTCAAAATATGAATTTTCCCCAGAATTTTGGGCTTAAAGAGGGGGGCTTGAGGCGCATTTTCTTTTGGAAATTTATCTATGCATGTATTTTAGGGCTGTGTGTGTGGTGTGTATATATATATATTTGGCGTGTGTGTTTATTGTTGTTGTTTGTGTGTGTGTGTGAGTGGGGTGCGTGTTGCTGTTGTTGTAGTACATTTAGCTGGTGTTTGATTTGTTTTTACTTGGGTTTCTCATTACGAATACGAACAAAATTTGCACACAAAATGGAACATAACGAAACGAAACGAAACGGAACGGAACGAAATAGAATGCAGAACAGAAACGGAAATGGAATCAATTAGCGGTTAACGCAGTCGAAATAAATAACGGTTAAGAAACATAAACGTCAAAGTGTGTTTGTGTTTGTGTGTGTGTCGTGGTGTGTAGCATTCGGTTTTCTTCTTTTTTTTTTTTGCTTTTTGAGTTAGTTTTCTGGCCTTTGAAATGAATTTGATGATTCTTTGATGCTGGCGTGGGAGGCGACTGTGGTGTATAGTAGTGGGTGCAAAGAGTGAGCTGGCTGTTGCAAGAAGTGGAAGTGTGGCAACATTGTTGCGGCCTAACCGCAGCACACACACACACACACACACGCACGCAGGCACGCTTACATCATAGTTCGTGTAATATTAACGAGTGTGGCGGAGGCGAAACTTGTGATAGAATTTTGCTAAACACTCTGCGGCCGCTGGCAGCGAGCTGGCAGTTAATTAATTTTGCGTAGAGTTCATCAAACAAGAGCTGGCGGCTGGCCTGCCTGTTGCTCTGCTCTACTCTTGTTATTGTTGTTGTTGTTGTTGTTGTTTGAATGTTTGCCAAAAGTTTTTCGCGGCTGGCGTTTATTTAGCAATTAGCCAGCTTATATGCTAGTGTATTCACATTTTTGGATCACTCCTCGATGCCAGCATCATCATCGTTGTGATTATCATTGAAAGCTATGTCGCGTATATGGGTGGGGGGATGTGACATGGGGGGCGGAAAGAAAAGACCCGACTCTGAAAATGCATTTGCTGGGTGGGTGGGTGTCTCGGGTAAGTACTGGTTGGGAGGGTGGTGGTGGTTTTAGGGGGGGGCAGCGGGGTTCTTTTTCCCTGGGCTCTTCTGTTCTGGCATGTGCGTGTGTGAGGGTGTGAGTGTGACCGAAACAAATGAAAACATTTACCATCGAAACAATCAAACAAGAAAGAAATTTATACACTTTATACGCTACGGCGGGAACTCGACTTGGAATCGCAACGAATCGGAGTTTAAGTTTTGTCTTTTGACGGGTGGGAAAAAAAAAGGATCTTTCTCGTGATGTTGGTTGGTTGTTGGTTGGTTGTTGTTGTTGTTCTTCCAAGGATCAAGTTCGTTTTCTTTTTTTTTTCTTATCTTTTTTCTTTTTTTTTTTTGGATTCGAGTGCGGATTCGAGTTGAGTCCAACGGGAAATAAATCGAAAGTTAAATCAAAAGTCCTGCTCCTGATCGACACGCATACATATGCGACGACATGTATGTATGTATGTGTGTGTCCTCAAGTCAGTCGGAAACGCAAAAATCGAAAGAAACAAAAGAGCAACGAAAAACGAAAAGCGAACGAAAAATCAAGAAAAAATTATAAAAAAAATTAATGAAAACTTTTTACATAACAAAAGGAAAAAGGAAAATGAAATTTCAAACTAGTTTTCGATATTAATTTCAACCAAATTACGGGCATTTGAAAATGATCTCTCAGTAAGTTAAATACGAATTAAATTTTGACTTAGATTCTGGCTTCGATATTGATTCCTTTTTTGTTTTTAGCTTTAGTAGTAGAAATTAGACGTATTCTCATAGTTTTTTAGGGGGTTTACGTTCTTTTTTAGCCTTTCATTTCTTTTGGTATTTCTGGTATTTCTGGTATCTGACTTGGTTAGACTCTTTTTGGTATATTCTTTTTTTTATTTTTTCTTTTTTTTTTTTGGTACTTGCATTTGCATTTGCATTTGATGTAAAAAATGTAATAATGAGCTTTTGAGCGCAAATAGAGCGGAACAAATAGAGTACGGATAGAGAAATGTTCGGACTCACCTTGAGGGGACACGGCGAGGTCACCGGACTGCTGCAACTGTGTGTTGAGACCTGGTGTTTTCCATGGCCCAAACAGTAATGGTAAGAAAGCAAGACAAAGAGAGACAGAGAGAGAGAGAAAAAAAAGGGGGTAAAGAGCGAAAAGTAAAGCGTTAGTTAAGTCAGTTAGTACGTTTAGCTACGCACATTGCGTATACGCACCAAGCAACGCTGAGTGATCGAGATTGCTAATGGGGAAGTTGAAGGCGGCGGCATGGAACATCTTGTTCTCCGCCGGCGACATGATGAACTGCGGGGCGGCATGATGTGAGGCGAGTCCGTCACCGATTTCCTCGTCGTTGCCAGAGCTGTAAATGGGATTTTTAGTATTTGAAATCGAATTTCTTAGTAAATCCCTTAGAAAGGCTTCTAAAAGTATGCTAACATTTTCTTCATACTTTTTTTTATTGGAGACTTTTCTATGTCAGCAAACTCACCTCAAAGAACCCTTGCCGCCGTCACCACTACTGGAACGGTTGGCATCGTGCTCGCCGGTGGAATCGTTACTGTGCTCATCATTGGCATTCGCATTGTTGTTGGAGCAAACCAACTCCATTGGCTCAGATTTGACATCATCAGCGCCCGCCCGAGCAAGCGGTGAGGGTGTGAGGCTGCCCAGTTTGTCGCTGATGGAGATTCCATTGCCATTGCTCGCTCCGTTGCCATTGCCGTTGCCAGAGTTTCCGTTGCCTGTGGGTCCATTACCTACGATCGGTTCTAGGTTATTACTAATTATTGCCACCAGAATACCCCGCCAGGGTTACTTACGCTTCTCCTCCTTAAGCGGCGGTGTGTTGTTGTTGTTGTGGTGCTTGATCGTACTAAAGTCGGCCGGAGTCTGTTGGGGCGAGGTGCTGCGCGCATGAAGCGGCGGCAAGTCGGGACTGTTATTGTTGCTGCCACTGCCAACGGCACCGGATAGCGCCAGGCCATTGTCGGATCCACGTAGCCGCTTCAAAGCGTGCGAGGTCTCCTCGGCGGCAGCGGCGGCGGCGCTGTTGCGGTGCATCATGGCCATGCGCTTCAGTAGCTGGTTGTTGATGTGCGGAGGCAGCGATGGCACCGCCGGTGGTGGTGGCGAGCCCGCTCCCTGGCGGCTGAACAGTGTCGACGAGCCGCCGTCATCGTGCAGCGAACCATGATGCGGATGTGGATGCGAGTGGGCGTGCGAGTTAAGCGGCGTACGGCCGCCGGAATTGGCCAGGTTCTGTATTTGAGCCAAGTGCTGTGAAAGGTTTGTATTGATTGAGATTTGAACGTGATTAAATCACCGATCAAGATCACTTACGCTGTGTGTGTCCTCCGCCTGTTGCTGCGTTAGTCCGGAGACGCGCAAAACCTCGGCGGTCTTGAGGAAGGACTGCAGTGACTTCTGATGAACGTTGACCTCGCCATGGTAGATGAACTCCACCAGCGAGTGCAGGTCCATGAAGCTGACATCCTGCAGCAGAATGACCGGGTGTTTGCAGGGTGTGCTCTGTAAATTGAATTTTATTTGTGTGGTTGTTATTATTGTTGTCAGATTAGTCAGGTTATAGTGGCGTTGGGAGAGTGACTCAGAGCAGAGAGTCTCCTGTCCCACCCCCCTTGTGATAAGACTGTTTGCCCTGGCAATTATCATCATCACCGGGGGCTCTGGCCCAGACAACCTTCAATTGTCGCTGAAATGTCAACAGGCCAACGCGCGATTTGAAGTTTGCATTCGCCTGGCTTTTTGAGTTCGATTTCGATGTCGGTCTGTCGCTGTGTTGCTGACGATTTTCTCTGCCAGCTGCAGTTGCTTCTTCCTCTTCTGCCATGTGTGGTTTCCCCACTGCACTCCACTGGTTCTCCCTTCCTGCTATACCCCTACCCTTACCCCTGCCCTTTACCCATTCCCATTCCCATACTACTACTACTACTTGGCACATTCAGGGCCAGTGCATTCCAGTTTGTGCTGCGTGTGTGTACACACTGTACAGTGAATTTCACTTATCAAGTGGAACTCCAACAAAGGGAGCTGCTCCTCTGTTTCTGTTTTTTACTGCTCGTGATTGGTGTGATGGTGTGCCTGGCTAGAAATTGGGTCAAGTCTCGTCTCGTCTCGCCTCTCGTCTTTTGTTGCTCTGCCCTCTGAAAGACCCTGCATTCCGTGTGTTTGTCTTATTTACTGGCTTGTGCAATTTATGTGCGCCTCACCAATACCAACACCACTACGCACTGGATATTTGCGATTGAGTTAGCGCTAAAAGATTGCCAGTGTGTATGTGTGTGTATGTGTGTGTGTGTAAGTACATATATAGGCATGTGGGATTGCGAAATTGAGGTCAATTTGACGAAAGACAAATGCGTCAGAGGGAAGAAAAGGAAACCGAAGCAGAGCAGAGCAGATCGAAAGATCTTCACCGAAACTGCAGCTGGCATATATAGCTGCTCAGCTTCGCAGTTTTTCAGCTTTTTAGCTTTTCAGCTTCTCTTCCAAATGCAAATTCCAAAGAAGCTACTGTAGGCGTGGCCCCTGGCCATAACACAAAAGCCAGAAATGCTTTTAGCAAATGCCCCTCTCGCCTTTTTAGCTGGGCAACAGCCATTAAGTCACCTCTATGCCACCCCTCTCTCTCACTGCCCAACCAATTGCTGTATCTCTGGCTGAGTATCTTAGTATCTCAGTATCTGAATCTGAACCTGTATCCCCCCCCTTGCGAGTCGCCTGGCTTTTGTTGTTTGGCAGTTTTTACACCTAATTAAAATAATGCGCTGCAGTTAATTAAATATTTATGCATAGGCGCAAAGTCGCGCACAATTGCGACGCCAAGTGCTGCGGCGGCAAGGGGGTTCCGCTTTTTCTGGGCCTGAGCCAAGTGTCTGGTCCGGTTGAGTCCAGTTCTCAGTTCTCAGTTCCCACCCTCCTTTTCATTTGCTACTACTTACTGTCCACTGTCTCCTTTCATTCACCACCTACTGCCCACTTGTATGTATTTCAAATTGAATTTACAAAGTTTTGTCCCGTTGCCATTGCTGTTTTCTCTTGTTATTGTTGTTGTTGTTGTTGTTTTTGTGTTGCAACACTGCCTGCCAGGCAGCCAGCAAAGTTTTGTATACTAATTTCTTGGGTACATAATTCTACAGCGCGACAACAGCAACAAAACGCTGATGGGAAGGCAAAAAAAAAAGTATAAAAATAAAAACAGAACTTGCAAAAAAGAAGCTCAAGAAAAAAATCACTCGGCCTGTTCCCTTTTGTTGGCCGTTGCTGTTACTTTTTGTTGTATTTTTTGTATTTTGTATTTTGTCCCGCTGCATTTAGTTGGCCTTTTTAACAAATTAAATGCCGACTTTTTCTGCTCGCGCAATTTCTTGTTTTTGGTTGAAGAGGAGGAGGAGCAGGAGGAGGAGGAGCAGGAGAGCAGCAGAGGACGGATTTGGGGTAAAAGAAACTTTGCCAGGGACTTCTTGACATGTTCTTGTTTCGGTTCCCCTTTTGCACTCCTCCTTAGACTCCTCCTTAGGTCCGTAGTTGCGTAATCAGTGCAGGATTGGCACACCCCCTCCCATTACCCCTTCTTTTCTTAACAACCAACTATCTCCTAATTGCAGTTCTTACCAAAAAACCAAACAAAACTGACAACTACTCTCGGCTTTGGCTTTTTGTTTGCCGGCCCCTCGCGCATAATTTGGAACAAAAACGGAAAATAATAACGGAAAAGCGCAGCAAGTTTTCTATCATGTTAACAAATCATGTCGAAAGAGACAGTAACAGAGTAACAGTAACTTTTGGCCAAGGCGGGGTTTAGTTTTTTTTTTTTTGTATTGTTGAGAGGAGGAGGAGGAGGGAAAGAACTTTGTAATTTATATAATTTGTGCTGCAGGACCTCTATTCCCCCCCTCCTGTGTCCTGCTGGGCTCTCTCTCTCTCTCCAATGACAGCTCGAACAATGCAAATGGCAAACGTCGCGGCTGTCTCTTGTCCCTCTCTAACTAGCCTGCCTGCCTTCCCTCTGTCGCTCAAAAACCGCAATTGCGTGCAAATATTTTCAATGCAGGCGCAGCGCAAAGTTTTTGGCGGGCAAAACGTAAACGTCGGCGCAACAACGGAGCGATTCACATAATTTTAATGTCATAATAAAAATAATGAACCAAACTGCGGCGACCCAACGGGGCGGGCTGGCTGGTTGGTTGGCTGGCAGGCTGCATTAGTTGCAAGTTTACTTTACTGACTCCAAAACTTGGGGCCAGCCTAGGCCAGGCCCAGGACATGGCAAGGCAAGGCAAGGCAAGGCAAGGATTCAAGGATTAGCCAGGTAGCCAAATGGCAAATGCCAAGGGGGCCCTCCCCACTTGCGGTCTCATTTGAGCCTGCTCTAGTTGCAACTTTCTGTTCCGAATGGCAAAGAAAATGCCAAATGGAAAACGCATGCGTTGCATGATCAGGGTACACAAATCAATCATACGTAGCGTTGTCCCAGAGCAACGTCCATGCCATCGACTCATTTGCACCGCAAAACGTTCCCGCGTTCTTAGTTCTAGAACTTGTAACGTGTTTCGACTCCCTTTCCACTCATTTTCCATTTCCATTGCCCGCAATCTCTGCCGACAATTGCCGTGTTTGTGTCTATCGCGGCCGTTGGCGCTTGTCCTGTGTCCCCCCTCTTTCTTCTTACTCCCCCCTCCTGCTGTTTTGCGGTCGTGTGCAACTAAATAAATTAAAATGCTAGCAAAACGCCAAAGCCCCTCACCGCCTCCCTCCCTCTCTCGACTAAACTTACTCCTGGCCATAATATTTTAGCTAAAAGCACACACAACTATTTCTCCACTTTTGCCAGCTAAACAAACTTTGCCGGAACCTTTATGGCCAAAAGAGTAGCGGAAAGGGACTTCGTTTTGCGGCATTTAAGTAATTCCTTGCTGCTTTGAGGTGGCCTTCTCAGCAACCCAAGCCAAAGCTAATCGCGATCTGCTGCTAACTGCTTAACATAGAGGAACCAAGTTAAGTCTCCATGATTGTATGAAAGTATTTAAGTTGATCTGTAATAACTACGAGTTAGTATTAGTCTTGTTCTGGCTAATTTAGAACCACAAAACTGCTAAGAGCATTCCCAGTTACTCTCTAAGGCCGTAATCCCCATTGTGGCCCCAAAATCATTTAGAATTCTTCTCATAGCAAAGCCAATAATTGTCGGAATATGGAATGTCATATCTCATTGAACTCGTAATTAAAATTCCATTCAAACTGTATTCACACCTGAAAAAGTCAAAATTCTTCTATTTTTCTTAAATTTTGATGATGTTACCCCTTACAGAAAATTGGAAAAATAATAAAAAATTAAACTTCCCAAAATCATCAAACTAATGATAAGAAAAGTTAGCTTTGGTCGTTAGCTGCTCAAAACAGTCTTTATCTTAGCTCTGAGCCTTGTTTTGGCTGAGTTATAGGGATAATCCCGATACAAAATATTGCCATTTTCTCTTAAAAGTCATAATCCTGATTCTTGCCTCAAAATCAGATTATTTTCTCTCAGATTTATTCTCACAGCAAAGTCAAACAAAGTCGGAACATGGAATGTCATATATCGTTGGAATCGTAATTGAAATTCCATTCGAACTGCATTCACACTTTAAAATGTCAAATTTTGAACATTTTTCGGAAAAATCATGATGTTACCCCTTATCGAAAATGCGAAATTTGGTTTATCCCGATTTTCTCCTATCAATGATAGTATTCTTCTCATAACTCGGCCAATAATGGTCGGAATGTGGAATGTAATACCTCGTTGAGTTTGTAATTTGATTTCTAACAAAACTGCTTACCCACCTTAAAACGTAAAAATTGAGCTAAATTTTGCAAATTTTGATAATGTTACCCCTTACAGAAAATGCAAAAATTTTACAAAAATTTAAAATCCCCAAAATCATCAAACGAATGTTAAGGAAAGTTAGTTTAGATCGTTAGCTGCTCAAAACAGTCTTTACTTCAGCTCTGCGTGTCGTTTTTACAAAGTTATAAGAAAGAAACCGCAAAAAAATGTTGCCATTTTCCGTAAAGAGGCGTAAAATTATAACAAACCTTCCTTTCTCAAGTATATACTTCTCCGATCTGTATAAATTATGACCCAGCAAAGTCAATGGCAAACGAAAGCAAAAACAGGATACTGCGCACACAGCTGCAATTGCATATGTATGTGTGGAGCAAAGCAAAGATAAAAACGCAGATCTCTCTCGGAAGAGGGAGGGGAAGAAAGAGGGGAGGGGAGAAATTTGCAATGGGTGCTAAGTAGGTCACACATGCAGCCACGCACGCAGATTACTGGAAACGCTGGTAACTGTAAATGTGTAAAAAGCAATTGCGAAAGTACAGAAAGAAAGGCAAATAGTGCCATCCTTTTCGTTAAATAAAACATTGAAACTGAATCAGAAGTGAGATAAATTGGTATAAAAATCTGAGAAATCTGAGTCATATATAAAAACCCAAACTAAAGACCACTTTTTGGCTAATATTTCTAACTGTTAGACCTATGAAACCCGCTTACAACCCGCTTTGAAAAGAAGTCAAGCTTAACTAAGATCGAATCTAGATAGACTTAAGATTTAGAGATTCTCAGCACTCACCTTGAGCAGCTCGCGGAAGTAGGGACTGCAGGCGGAGAGGACGACGCGATGCGCCTTGATGCTGCGTCCCTCGCAGGCGAGCGTTACATCGACGAAGGCCTCGTCGTCTCGCAGATTCTCGAAGGCCGAGGTTATGCTGCTCTGGTAGTTGTTCCAGCGGAGGCAAAAGTGCTGTGTGTCGTCCATGTCGATGGGTTGTTTCTGGTTCTGATTCTGGATGTTACTGGTTAAAGGATATTCTTGTTCTGAGTCACCAGGTGTGGGCGTGGCTGCAGGCGTTGATATTGGTGTAGGTATTGGTGTCGGTGTTGTTGTTGTTGTGATTGTGGGCTGCCGAGCGTTGTGGTCGTTGTTGTGGTTGTTATTGTTGTTGTGATCGTCGTCAACCGACACAACGCTGGCCTTCTTCGAGGTCACCTTCTTTCGTATTTTGACGGCTTTTTGGCGGCCTGGCCCACCGATGAATGGGATAGAAAAGCGCTGTAGCGGCTCTAGCTGCCTTGCCTTTGGCTTGTGTATTTGCCTTGCTGAGTGTTGTTGTTGTTGTTGTTGTTGTTGTTGTTGTTGTTGTTGTTGTTATATATATTTATATAGCTGTAGCTGTAGCTGTAGTAGAGTATTCACTAATGATTATTTAACTGCAATTGAGAGAGAAAGAGAAAAGCAGAAGAGCAAACAATTAGAATTCAAGTTGGAATAGGATTATAAATGCCGAGGACCCTGCGATCTCACCACCCCTCCACCCCTTAATATTAAGTTCATTGCAGTTCAGAGTTCGCCTTGGAACTGCCTGCCTGTTTTAGTTTGGATCGTTTTTTGGTTGATTTGTGCCGCGCTCAGCTGAAAGTTGTGCATTTGTTTCTGCTTTGCAACGGTTTTTTGCTCGCTTTTGCGTTTTTTTGCCTGTTCTGCTGTACGGCTGGGCTGTTTCGCTTGCAACTATGCGAAATGTTTAAAAATTGTTAACAAATGCAGTTTAAAATGTCAACCACGGCGACGACGCAGCAGCAAAAACCATTTCTATGTCATCACACGGCGAATCAAAATTAAATAAACTATCAAGACGACAATTAGCACTCGCAGCGGCAGCGGCAACGGCAGCGACGGCAGCGGCACAAGCAAAAAATTTATAACGAGTGCAGAACCAACAAATAAAAAAAAAACGAAGAAACCAAAAAAGCAAAGCCATAAAAAACGGAGTGAAAAAAGAGCCAACGCATCGCAAAATGGGAGGAGTGAATACAACAACAACAATATAAAAAAAAACAGAAAATATATAAAAAAAGCGAATTAAACAAATGCGAATATACCAAGAACACTTGTACGGCGGGGTGGGAACAGGAACACGCTCTGTTCCCATCTGGACATCTTGCAGAAAAACAAAAAATAAAAAAAATAATTTGAATACAGAAAACTTTCGGGGCAGTTCATCTCTCTCTCGCTCTGTTGGCCTCTTCCTGTCCCGCTCTGGCTGAATGGTTTTTGCGAATTGCGAATTGCGATAAGCGAGGCAGCAAAGGCAGCCAGGCAGCGTAGCAGCAGCAGCAACACCAGCAGCGGCAGAGCTTTCGCTCGGCATTGAAAGTGAAAACTATTAGATAAGTCGCGCCGGGTGTTCGCTGCACTTTTTTTTTTCCACCAGAGTTAGCCAGCAAACCCACAAGCTGATACGTATGAGTGATGTGTCCGCACAAAAATAGCACCCCTCGCTATGATATCGTCATCCCATTTCATTCCCAATTCCCATTCCCATAGCCATTCCCAACGCTTCTCCTATTGCAGTCGAGCTCACCTTCCTCCTGTTTGGCGCTCTGATTGGAATCCGATGCCTGGCTCTAATTAGCCGGTATGCTTTTTCTTCTTATTGAAACGCGTGGGACATTTTCTTTTAGCTGTTCTTTCAATTTTGCAAACTTTGGCTTTTCTAGATATCTATATTTTTCGAATTTCGGGTAAAACTATTCTGCTTGCGTATACGCAATTTTTTGTGTGTTTTTTTTCTTATTCTTATTCTTCTCGCACTCAACAAAATTTTAAAAAAATTGCGGCACTCACACACACACACGCAGTGGGGGGGAAGAGAAACGCGACGAGGATAAACCGTTAGTTGGAAGCTGGAAATTCTAGGGGAGAACCGAGCTTAAACGAAGCGAAAAGCGAGCGATTTGGGGGAGCGACCGACCGAACGAACCGAACCGATGACTAAACTAAACTATCTTGGATTGGCGAGGCGATATCATGGCCAGAGCCGTAGCCCGGCGATCCCCAGCGGGTGGGAAGGGGGCGGTGGTTGTGGATCCAGGATCATCCGCGGTCGGATGTTCGGATATCTGCTGATCTGTCTGTATTTTTGATTATTATTTGATTGGTTTTTTTTTTTTTGGCTATAGTCTTAATAGTTGATCGCGGATAGTCCGTTTTTCCGTTTGCCGTGTATTTTGTGTTTGTTGCGTTTGATGATTGCAAGCGTAGAAACTCAACTGAATTCGCGCTAAAGAAGAAGAGAGTGCTGTGCCAGTCTCAGTCGCTGCCTCGGTCGCCGCCTCTGCCACCGACAACTTTTCGACGTCGACCGCACACAAAAAGCGCATTAGGCAGCCGAAAAAAGTCAGCACAAACACACACACACACACACATAGTCATATACTGCGGCGAACTATTCCCGAAAAAATTTTGGCACTTTTGCATATGTGTGCGTGCCACGCCGTCTGGATGTTGGAAAGAGAGAGACAGCGCTACAGAGAGAGCGATCGCGCGCACGCTCTGTTGTCCGGTGTTCAAAGGATTGGACAGAGATAGCAATAGCCATAACGATGCCTGCAGGACAGAGTGCGAAAGAGAAGAAGAATACAAAACTTGAGGCGTATTAGAATGTAGAATTCCCAGACGCAGCACACATACATATACGCGCGCGCAGCAAAAAAGCATTTTTTGCACAAAAAGTCCAGCGCCGAATTTTTTAATGTTCTCGATCTCTGTTCGTTCTGCTTGTTCTCTCTCTCTGTCGCCCGAACTCTCTCTCGCTGCTTATACTAGAGTCGCTTTTTTTTGTGCATAGAAGAAAACAAGACGTTTCGCTGACTAATAACTAACAAATAAGGCAGAGAAAGCTCATAATCACTCATCCTTATCCCTTTTGTATATCCTCTGACCTTTCAGATCCAAAAAACTCTCCATACTCTCCATCCTTTAATAGATCATTTCTACAGATCTTTCAACTATTGCAAAATGAGCGCACATTTTCTCTGCGTCTTCGTTTTTTATTTATTGCTGCATATAGTCGAGATCATATGTGTGTGTGTGTGTGTGTGCCGTAGTGCTTACGAACTTTCAAGGCTAAATACTAAATTTTTTGCTGCCTTTGTGGCCGTATATTATTATTAAATTTTGTTTGGCGCATTTCGCTAGCCAGCTCTCGCTCCCTCTCTCTTTCTCACTCGCTCGAAATAGTTCTAGAAAAAGTCGAATTCGTTGCAGTCGTTTTTTTTTTCGCCACTCTCCCAAAAAAGTGCGAGTGTGAAAGTGTGTGTGTGTGTGTGTGTGTGTGTTTGAATAAAAGCAATTATTTGGCTGACTGCGCTGTAGCTTATAAAAAGCCAAAAGAGCAGCGGCGAACGCGATTAGATAGAGTAGCTAGTATACATAGTAGTTTGTTCAGTTGGAAACTAAATTGTATAATGCGAGTGGCGAAAATAGAAGTCTTCTATGTATGTATTTGTAGGTGTGTGGGTGTGGATGTAGGTGTAGCTGTTCCGATCTGATCACATTGGTGTGCCATATCTCCTGCACCTCCACCCTCGCAAACTTGTTTGCTGCCCCTTCTCCTTCGCCTCCTCCTCTTTTTGGCTTTCTCTTTCTATTGTGTTTGTCGGAAACTTTGCTTTTTTTTTTATTGCCATTGCCTTCGTTCTCCTATCGTTTGTCTCCAAGTGTGTTATGTCTACGAGTGTGTGTGTGTGTGTGTGTGTTTCTATTTTCAAGGTTAGCTGAGTTAGTTCTGCTCATACTTGAAGCACACACACAAGCGTTGCCTTTCCCAATTCAGCATTTCCATTTCCCTCTTTCCCTTTCAAAGTGCGAGAGGGACGATGCGTGACAAGTTGGTCTACGACAGCTTACAAAACGTTAAACAAGGTCAGTCCACATCCACTTTTCCACTTTCCCCACACACCGTTTTGGCCCCGCTTTCCACTTGTTGCCGGCTAGACGCTGTGGCGCCCACATCACATTTCCACATGGCAAATCGCACACATTGCAAATAGCTTCCCCCTTTTTCCCTTTACACATTTCTTTTTCCAAGCACCGAATGCCGGCCAAATGTAAAATCTAACGGCCAACACACACACACACATAGAGAAAGAGAGACAGAGAGAGAGAGTAGTGAAAGCGAAAGTTCTGTGTGAAAACTAAGAGAGAGAGGCGAGGTGGATGGGTGGACCCGACAAGGAGGGCATTACAAAATGCAAGCTGCATCTGTGTGGGGCCGGTGGGTGTCTACTGGGTGGGGCTAGACACATGCTAGACGAAAATGCCAAAAGGCAACCAACCACCGGCATAACGGGGCATTTCCCTTTACCATTTTACATTTGCATTTGCATTTGCACACGCACACGCCCATTTACATATGTATATGTACACACGGGGCACCTACCTGATTAATGCGTGTTAATTAGCCCATTAGGCTAATTGTAAGCCATTAGAGGAAGAAAGAGGGGGAATACAAAGCAAGCAAATAGAGCAACTAGCACCCAGTAGATGTGCCAGAGAGAGATAGCAAACGGAGAGAGAGAGCAATTCAAAACAAAACCAAAACCCAATTCTACAACTCGTAAACTGAGTCCAAGTTCAAGGTCTCGCGTTCAATTCAATCGCCTCTGCCAGCGTCACTGCTTCTGACGGCGTCGCTGTCTAGCTAGTTGCGCATAATAGAGAGAGTGAGTGAGTGAGAGAGCATTAGAAAGCTCGCAAGTCTTGCGATGGTGTTAAAGCGTAAGCGTGTGGACAAACACTCGCAAACAGCGCTCTCTCCAGGAGGAAGAGGATCGCACCAGACAGCAAAGAAGAAGAGCCAGCGAACCCCCCTCCCCCCTCTTTCCTGTCTGGAACTATTTCATTCCTAATAAACAATACAAAAAAAAGAGCCTGGCCACTTTTGTCTACGCTTCAGGTTCTTCTTCTTCCTCTTTGGGCTCTTGCTGCCTTTTGTTTTGTTTTGGCTTTGCTAAACTTCCCTTCCCTCCTTATTCCGCTCAACATTCCCGCTGACAAAGTTGATTTCTATTGTTAGTGCGCTGCGACTGCGCCGTCAGCTTCGTCGTCGTCTCGCTCTCTCTCTCTCTCTCTCTTTTGCTTAGTTGTTTTGCATTTTTGCTAATTTGACCTTCACCTTAACCTAGTCATCGTGTGTCGGACATTCGGTCGTTTACCCCGCGCAAATTCGCAAATTCGCCAGCCAAAGTCGAAAAAGCTTCAAATACATAAAAAAAGAAGAGAGTGGGAGAACGTGAGTGTATGTGTTTGCGTATGTGTAGGCTGAGTGGGAGAGGAGATCCCACAATAGTGCTAGACAAGAGAGCAATGCAGCCTCCCTCTCCTTCTATTACAACATTCCTCACTCTTTACTACAAATACTTGCAAGTGAATGACCAGTTTCAACTTCCAAAAGCACTCCTCTCTTCATCTCACTCTATTACTATTTCTCTTCCCCACTAGTTTCTATTTGAGCGCATTTTTTGGCGCTCTCTTTCTATAGTGGAAAAGAAGGAGGGAAAAATAACGATAATACGGACCATTAGAGACCCTTTCTACCCATAAATCATCATTATTAGTTTCCTATTTAGCTGAAATTACTTTACTTGATTGGTATTACAATCGTAGTTAGTTTAATACACATAATTCACATAATTAGACAGACTAGCTTACACTAATATACTGTTACATGGTTTGTGACCAACTGTTCTATGAAAACAATATAGCCTAGTACTACATGTAGGGTACAACTAGCCATGTAAGTTTCGAAATGCTGCTCTTGAGTCAAATCAAATGGAAGACTGCGAGTGCGAATAGTTTTGCGCTAGATCGTCGTGTTCATTTTCCAGCGTTGCTTAGTTTCGTTTAGTGTGCAGATCGGAGTGGATCCCTCCACGGATTAGGAGTTGTTACGACTGTACATACTTTTTTTTTTATGGTGTCTCTTTGAAAAAAGGAAGTGGAAGTGTACAGTTATGTGATTGGGGTTTTTGTGCGCGCCGATTTTCGCCCCTGTCATTGGGGGTCTTTGAACTTAGAGCAGAGCGTTCAACCCCGCCTACCGCCTTCTATCGCCCACGTTTCGTTTTTTGGGCTTCGTGCAACTCCGAAAAGTGTGACGACGTCTGTGTGGCCATTATCGCGACCGTTTCGGTTTGTGCGATAACCGATAAGTGTTGCGTTGTATTGTGTGCCCTCGCCGCGTGCAGTTAACCGCCTCGTCTCCCTCTCCCTTTTACTAAGTAATCAGTTATTGGCCCGCTCTAATGAACGTTGAACTGCAAATTGCAAAAACGTACGAAAATAATAAACAAACGCGAAATGCGAAATTCGCTCTCTCTAGCGAAACATCCGCGTCGCCGTCACCCACACATTCGTATAATGGGTGGGTGCATTCACCTCTGGATCTTGTGCCTGCCTATCGGATGATCACTGTAAGTGCTCTAAAGGAAAGGAATGAGAGAGAGAAAGAATATGAGGAGGAGGAGAAGAAAAGAGCGTCGGCGGCTAAGTAAACTGCGCCATTTCTGTTGCGTTCCAAAATGTGTATACAAAATTTGCATTTTGTGTCCCTCTTCTATCCTCCCTCTCTCATCCTCACCGAAAAGTACATGGGAACGACTGGAAGTCGAGTTGGCAGAATAACTGCAACGTAACTGTTTTTGCTATATCGTTTATCGAATAGGAATAGGCAGACATAAAAGAGGGTTTCTAAGTTGCCAGCGCAGCAAATGCAATTCGCGAAAAATGAAAACTGAAATGTGAAATGTGAAGTGTAATGTAAAAGGAAGCAGTTTAGTGGGAAACCAAAAAGTGAAGTGAAGTGAGCACACGAGAGCCTATCAAAATCGAACAAAAATTCAAAGAGCGAATAATGCATGGCTCCCCTTTCTTTTCCCTACTTCTCCATCTCCTTCGCTGCACACAATTTAATTCGCATTACATTGGGGATTTAGCTTGTCTTGTTTGCATTTTGCTTTTGGCTCGCCTGCCTTCCATTGCCATTGCCATTCTCATTCCCATTCCAGTTTCCATTCGTGTTCGTACATATTGATATGTAGATGCGTTTACATAGGCGCTCGTATGTGCGTGGCCAGCTCATTAATTTTATAGACCATTTTGCGCAATGTGGCACACACACACATACATATATATATTCGCTAACACATTCGCGATCAATTGACACACATATATGTGCATATACATACGCACACTGCAATATATTAGCATTTCTCATCAAAAAGCTGCTCTCTGCGCTCTGCCAGCGTCGCCTTCGCTGCGTCGCTGAGGTTAAGAAACTTTTGGGGTTTAATAACATTGCACAAGGTTATTAGATAAAAAAATGTGCTCGCCGCAACTGTGCGCCCGCGAGAGCGAGAAGGCTAGCTAGGGCTCCCCTTCTCCCTCTTCCGTTCTCTTTCCCTTCCTGTTGCCGTATTCCCATTCCCATTGCCATTCCAATTCCCGACTCTCTGTTCGGCTGAGCTCGGCTAAGATCGGATCGCTTCGTGTGCAAGCTTCTAGTGGTTAAGTATGATGAGAGGAGGGATCTGGAAAGGGGTGCGACAGGGGGCATTATTTTTAGGCCCTGCATGCACACGCACACACATGTGTGTGTGTGTGTGTGTGTGTTCCCCAAGTTTTGTGTATTTTTCGGGACTGGCAAATTTCTTGGCCGTTGATCTTTGGCGTTCTTTCTGCTTCTTCCTTCTGTGGATACTGAATGTCAATGCATTGTTGGATACGCGTGCGGGGGGTGACGACCAGGAGAGGGGGGTTCAATGCGCATCTGGCTCACCGAGTGTACACACATTTACTTTTTGTGCCCATTATTCGCAGCGCTTTTCTACTCTGCTCATTTTCGTGTTTTTTTTTTTGTTATTTTTTTTGTTTTTTTTTGCACTATGCGAACACAGTCTGTGCAGTCTGGAAGGGGCGATCCACGATCAAGTGGGAAGGGGTTAGGAGGGGGTGTTATTTTTGAAGAGGGGGTCACCATCACAGTCATGGCCATTGTCACTGTTTATCACATTTACCGTTAAGCAGCCCGTCTCGGGTTACCCGTGTCATAGCCCAAGAAAAGCTACAACGGTTTATGGTTCATATAAGACGACCCTCGATGTCTCGTCTGTGTCTCTTGGCAACCCCCCGACTCCTCCCCATGAAAGCTGAGAACCTCTTCACTTGAAAAATGCAAAAAAATAAGACAATAAAAAAACGCAAAAATAAAACACAAGTGAAAAACAAAACAAAAAATGTCAACGAAAGTGCAGGAAATGAACGAAAAAATTAACCAACGATCGGATCGGTTGGCAGTGCAGCAAAGAACAGGGAGAAGCCAAAGTGGAAGTAGCAGCAACCCATTGCCATTCTTAGTACCATTCCCGTTTCCAATCCCCGGGACTTCCTAGCTCCCCCATAACTATGAACATGACACTCATGACCAACTGACTGACTGCGCCAGCAGAGCAGGAAGAAGCAGAGAAGAGCAGCAACGCCAGCAGTGGCAGAAGAAAGGGGGATTTGCAGTGCAGAAAGCAGAAGAACATGAAGTAAAGAATTGCACACTCGAAGAAAAAGTAATCAACTCAGAATATATACAGAAAGTATAATCGATGGGTTAAGATTTATATTAAGATTTAGTTTAGGAGAAAGGCTATAAACTCATGGCTGATTTTCCTAACTTTTCCAGTTTAAAGTTAATTCTCTAAGTGCAGGGCCTTCATCTCCATATCCAGCAATGCTGTTGCGTGCGTCTGTGGCCGCCTGGGCAGAAATAGAAACATCGCGAATGTGGCAGAAGCAAGTAGAAGAAAGGAGAATTGAGTAAGAAGAACGGGGCAGGGTGACAGAGACAGAGACAGAAAGAGCCGAGACTGGAGAAGAGTTATCTCCTAGCCTTTGTGCCTGTGCCATTTGTTTGTCTATCCGGCTTTTGGCCTTGGAGTAACCGTTTCCGAGAACTTGGGAACTCGCCTATATATATATGTATGTATGTGTATGTATGTCTATAGCGATAACTATGCACTTTGTATGTCTCTGTCTGTCATTATGTTGCCATCTCTGTTGCGCTGTCTTCGCTTTCGCTTTTGTTTCTTCTGTTGCTGTTGCTGTTGCTGTTTTCTCTGTTTGTTTTTGCAACTCCTATCCTCCTATCCTTCTAGCCCCTCCTCAACTCGACAATTTGTGGCGGCCTTGAACGGCATCATCATCATCATCATCGTGATCATGATCGTGATCCCCATTTGTTATTGCGCCCATCCAACGGCAACGGATGCATTTGTGGCTGTGGTGCAGCCAAACAAGTGCTCCGTGCTAGAAGAACATACATACATATATGAGTCACGGGAATGGAGAACTAAAAGCTGGCGACTGGAGCTGGTAACTCTAGGGGAGCTCTGTCACTGCTGGTTGTCTGCGTGCTTTGTCCACTTGTGTGCGTGCGTGCGACTGACTCTCAATTGGCCGCAGTTTCCACTTGATTCCAGTTGATTGGGTTCCAAGGCTAACGGAAGTGCTACTGGTTGCTGCTAGTCTGCTCTGCAGTTCTCTAATTGCCCCATAACTTTGATGAATATTAACTGTAAATGTGTTAACCCGTTTCGGAGATGATGTCCTTTGTTCTTTACTTTTTACTATTTTCCTCTGTTTTACTGTTACTCATCAGCTTCCTGGAACTGAAAACTAGAATGAGTGCCTGTGCGACCCTCTTTTGCGTTGCATTTGCAAATCCGTGGCAGCAGCAGCAACAATTGCAGCAGCACACCAGCAGAGGCAGCAACAACAAGTTATGCGCCGTCAACCTTGAATGTCGGCCAGTCGCACACACAGAGATGGCTAACACACACACACACACACACACAGACACCCTAATACCAACATCAGCACGCAGACAGCGTCTAGTCGGGGCCACCACTTTGGCGAGTCTCCATCTCCTCGGCCTGCGTCTCCTCCGCTGCTCTGTTCTGTTTTCCTAGCATCCAGCCAGCCACCACATTCGCAGCCCGAGCTCCACAGCACGTCCCACGTGTGTGCCCCATACCCTCAGCCCCCCTTGTCTCCTTCCCCTCGTTTTCATAGTCTGGCTCTTCCTCCGTCTCTAGTTTCTGTCGTTTTATGCTTTTTTTCGCTCTTCCTTTTTGCTAGGCACGCTTCGTTGGCTGCCTGCAATTTTCATTCAGTTTTTCTCTCGTCGCGCGACTTTCCCACACCACCGCCGCCGCCCTCCTTGCCTTGCCCCGCCGCTCCTCCCAAAGCTCAGCTCCCTCGCGTTGCAGGAATGCAGAAAAATGTGTTAGTGGAGTAGTTGCCATTACGTCACCTTGCCGTGTCTGTGTGTCTGTGTCCATGTGCGCCTGTATGGGTACCGGTCTTTGTGGCTTGCAGATGGGGAATGGTTGTAGATGGAGATGGGGATAGAGATGGGGCGTTGTGGAGTGTTGTTGTCGTTTGACTGACTCGTCTGGGTCTCGGTCTCGGTCGCCCTAACAACTAACAGAACATAAAAAAAAAAGCGTGGCAGAGGCTGCGGTTGCTGGTGCCACTGCCACTGCCACCTCACATTCAAATGGTGGAAGGTGGAATAATAGGTTTTGTGGGGGAGTATGAGTAGGAGTAACCTAACTGAACCGCTTGAGTGCGTGCCTGTCTGGCCATTTGGCCCCTGTTTGTCCCATTTCCCGAATTACAAAATTGCGACAGAAAGCGAAAGTTGCAATGCGGGGCTACATCACCTCACGTGACGACTTACCTGCTATCTGAGCTAATCCTGAGAGAGTTCCTGAGAAACCAATTCCGATCGATTCAGAATCAAAAGATTAAGCCTGAGTGGGTTGCAATATATATATAAAAATATATATATATATATATTTTTAACGATAAAAACATTAACAAAAAATATTAAACAAAATGGTTGTGGAAGCAAGCTGTGGTGGTGCGGATGCGGATATTATGTGAACTTGCAAATTCAGCGCGACTTGCACTTTGCGCGAGCGATTTACGATTTACGATTCTCAATTTGCAATTTGCAATTTGCAATTTGCAATTTGCAATTTACAATTTACAATTTTTGCGATGAGCTGCCACACGACGTTTGCTCGGTGCGACGCTGAAGAGCAAACTGCAGTTTCGTCGTTTCGGGCTGGCTTTCGATCTTTCCCGAACCCTGTTCCACTGGCCTTCACGATCGGATCCGAGTACAGATCCTCAGCTGCCTTGCCTTGCCTTGCCTTGGCCGTGAGCTTCACGAAGCGTCTGACTAACTGACTGACTGCAGCCGAAGAAGAAGAAGAAGAAGAAGAGGGGGTAAAAGAAGAAGAAGAAGAAGGAGCGTAGAATGGCAGAGCAGCGGACAAGTCGAACAATGCAACGGAGAGTCCAGAGGAGGTTGAGGAAGGTGGCATCGCAGGGAGGGTAAAGAGGAGGCGAACGAGGC